TGCAAGGTATGTAAATATTATCCCAATGTACAGTTTCAACACAAGTTTACTTTTCACTAAAAGTTGGGTTTGTTTTGCCATTATGCCTATTAAAAAAACAAATTTATGCAAATGTGTGTGTCTGGGTCTTTTTAGAATTTGTCAACACTCCTTCCTTTGTTGCATCACACTGTTAATGAAATCCATGGGGAAAAAAAAGATTAAGAATATTTCTCTAGAAAATGAACCTAAACAACATCAACATGCTTTTAATGCATAAAATAGGATTTCAGTCATACGTTTCCAAACACTAGAATTACAATTTTAATCACAACAGGTTTCATCAAGCTATATGATATTAAATACATTTTAAATAAATACTGTTGTAGCTCATTAACAGTCAGTGAATCTGTCTCCAATTTTGAAGTGTTTTTTTAAATAATTGAGACTGAATTTTCATTTAATTGTTTCTATGGTAAATGTTAATTTACTGATGGCTGCTTTACTTTAGTTAAGCACAATCAGCTCTTATTAACTAAATTAGCATTCTAAGGGTTCTAAACAAGTTCTGTATTCCTGTAATATGATTAGTTTCCCATTAACTTCATTTCAGTTGCCAAGCAACATTAAGGCTTTTATGCCATTTTTGACAAAATTACAGTAGGATGAGCTAAAAGCGCACAGATTAATCTCATTTAAACACAGTAATAAATCTTAGAACCTGGAAAGTTTACTGAGAACAGAACCTTAAATCTACAGTTCACGGAGTAATATTTTAATATACATTAATGTTTGAAAAACATAAAAGGATTAAAATAAACAAAAACTAATTTGTTTCACTATTTAAGGCACATAGAGACAACACAAAATATATTAAGTGCTGTCACATAAGTTACTATTGCAATTTACCAGAATCTCTATGAACCAAACCAAATTTCAATACCATATGGGTGAAAATGATTGACTTTCACACTTGCAAACACTTTTGGAACCCAACTATCAATATATATTGCACACATACAGTACATATGATTGAGTTCAATGAAGTTGACTGAGTACAAGTGTGCAGCCTCAATTAATTTGGTTTCTGAATATTCATGTTTAATAATTTGATATATAAATAAGTATGGCATGAGCTATTTAAAAAGGTATTATAATCTTATATGTTCTTAAAATGCCAAATATATCGTAAACCTTTTTCTAGAAGGAAGAAAAGCTTCATAGATCATCTCATAAGAATTCTGCCTCTACTTCCTTGTTCCCCTTCCTCCAAAAACATCCCAGGAACCAACTTCTGTATCTGTCTGAAAAGATTAGAAATTTTCCTCAAAATGTCTAACCTTTAAAATGGGAAACTCATCTTAAATTCGCAGAGAATATAGTAAAGGTGGAAGATAAGCTTTTTCTAATGGAGAGGAGGAGCATCTAAAATTCAGAAAACCATATACTGCTTTCCTTTTGGGTAAACAGTATATGGCCTCAGTTTCCATTTGCAGAATAACAACCCATAATGCTTTTAAGCAATTCATAACGCTTATTTTTTTGGCAGAGACACTCTACATAATATGCCCTTATATATGTACTTCCACAACAACTACTAAGCTGCAAATCATCTCATTAACCTGCATTAGCCTATTCTGTTTTCATGCTCCCTGTGGACCAGTGGAAGCCTCCTCTTCTGTCTCCAAGATAGAAATTCCAAAGAATATTGGGATTCTTAGATATTAAGTGTTCTCTTCAGCCAGCATGGAAACCAAGCATTCCTCCCTTCCTGATGGAGGAAAAAAATTGATTGTTCTTCCTCCAGCAGGCCATTCACTCTTATTTATGAAACCCATTGTCTCCTATGATACCAGAAGAGTTGTTCGATAACATACTAGGATAAAACAAGTAGATTCTGATGATTAGGTATGTAGGCTAAAAATCCAATGCAGATATATGGATCTTTTCCTCTGCCTAACACACAGCTTCCAGTTTAACTTGGGAAGCATCTATTCTTACTGAAATGGTGGGTTACCTTCTGCCAAATTTTTGCTCTTCCCCCCGTTACATAGTTGCTATGTAACTTTTCTCTTGCTAAGAAAACTCTAGAGCGGTAATGCCACATAAGCTTTTGCCATGGACATCTGAATATCTTAGTAAAAGTGAATCATGATTGAGCCATTTAAATAATATAACTTTTAAAGTTTAAATAGTATATATTTTTTTAAATGTGCTGTTAAGAGAACTAGACATTTTTCCTCCATGAAAATTGGGATGCAGTGCTTCTGGATTGATAATTATTAGTACTACTAACCAAAAGACATTTTGCAAGTCTTCATCTTTCATTCCTTAACAGATTTTTGTAGTAAGGAAAAGACAGATGAGAAGACATCAGAAAGGTTACAAATGGAAAGCAACAGTAAGATCTCCCATAAAGAACATAATGGGCATTTACACAACTAAAGTATCATCTAGAAGCAGAGTCAAGTGCATATCCAATATATTAGTTATGATTTAATGGAAGTGAAATCTCTGCATTATGATCAGCACACACAATGTGCTCCTCCAGACAATCTTGGACTGTATCTCCCATCAGCACTTAACATTATCAGTCAGAGCCAATAAGAATTGGAATTAAATAAAGCCTGAAGAATTACATATTATCCATTCCTGACATATATTTCTGGACTATGTTCAAATCCTCTCTAAAAAAACCAGCCAGATGCAGATTTGTACAACCTATTCAGAAATACAAGTGTGTGCATATTGGACTTAAAACTCATTTTAAGCTCAGGTGAGAAGTTATTCTTCTTCCAAAAGTTATCTATCATACATAATTAACAACTTATGATCACATTTTGGCCCAAATGCTATTATTTGAGCTTAAAATCCTAAAGATTTATCATACATGTCATAATTTAAATAATTTAATCTCAAACAAAATGTTTTCAGATAACGCTGAATTTAAACTGTATAAGTTCTGAACTGCAAAAACTGCAAAAAACTTTGTTGATAGCAATTCCACTGTATCAACTATCCTGACTATTGCTATTATTAACCTAACATGTAGTGTTTTTGCATCTGAAATAGGAGAGCAGCCACCAACGTAATGCTTGTAGTTTCTAAAATTAACTGAGAAACTTCCTTAAAATTCCTCCTCTGATTTACTATATTCAGTTCTTTATTGTATATAAAACTACTAGGAAGTCCCAGCATATTCAACACAATGCACATTCTCCAAACTAGTTTGACTCAAATATATCAATGAAATTACAGGTGCTGATTTCAGGAACACATTTTTTTAATGATCTACTTTCCGTATGCAAGCAGTTCTTGAGCTTTGTAAAACTGTGACAGCACAGGAACACTTCAGAAACAATAAAAGCTGAAACACAGATTGTGAACACATATATAGTGATTTAATACATAATTGCTTTTACAACATAATTACCAGGAATAGATAAATCAGCTCACACATGCTTCAGCCAATTCTATGAATCTTTAAGTTTCCAGTAGTGCTTCCCCCATGTCAGTTTGCCCAGCAATACAATCTCATGATGCAATCTTCAGCATTTATTTGGAAGAAAGTTGCACTGAAATCATTGACTTATCTCTATATAATTAATATTAAGACATATACAGAGAGCTTCAACCTTCAATTCAATTGTTTAACACTCCAGCAAGAGGGATGCTAACTTCTTTAGTTAATTTAATTTGTTTAAATCAAAAACAATAAAGTACATTGCTTTAGTAATTGTGTATGTATAGATTTAAATTTATACTTTATTGCATTGTATATAAACATAAGCATGACATGAATTAGATATGATATGGAAACAAATAAGGGAAAACAAAAATGAAAATTCCACTTCATCAATTCTTCACCCAACATTTATTGTTGTAAATATTTTGTTATAAATAAATAATGTGCATGCTTTGCTCGGAATGTAATGGTGGAATTAGTTAGGAAGGTTGGGTGTTAACTGCTAAGCCTATTCACTGCTCTAAATTGTTCACAAGGAGAAAAACCTATCATAGTGTATTATTTTACATGCACATGAATGAACTATAATTCAAATGGATCAACTATCTGTACTTGTTAAGTAGTACATTATATGTAGGTGGGAGGAAAAAACAAGGACAAAAAGCAGCTTATTCATCTGCCACTGGAATAATATGCCTTCAGTTATATATTTATCACAAATACAACATAAAAAACATAGCAAATGAAAAACTTAAGTACAAATGTAGACAGTACTATAAAATATGAACTCACAAAAATCAAAATTCCAGCATTTCTCACTTAATATTTTTACTGAACTTGTGTTTATTTTATGAACAAAATAAATTGCGATTTATGTACTAAAACAACTGATAAAAATGGTAAAAAGATACAATTTTAAACATTTATAAATGCAATTGAATATAAGTTACTGGGGACTAAGCCCCATTCAACTCAGTAGGACATATTCCAAAACATGCATTGGATTGGCTGCACAATGTTAACTCTGTTCAAAGGCATTCTGTCAATAAAGTAGTAAAAAGCATGAATTATACATATGCTATCTAAGAGCTGAGAAACTGAGTTTTACTAAGTTATTTTCTTTTTACAAGGCTAAAATATTTTTTTTGTGGTAAAACAAGTATTTTCCTTTAAATGCAGCTGTCAATTTAGTTGTGACCCATGTTTCTAAAAGTACAGAATGAAAAGATATTCTTATCAAACTGATATTCAGTTCAGTTCTGCAAAAAATACCATTTACTTTTTTTTAGTTATTCATATGCCTGTTATTCAGAACTGGGGAGAGAGGGATGGCATGGAACAGTGCCAGTGATATTTTTGGTGGACTTGTTAATTTTTCCAAAGACAGCACTTGCATCATCAGATACTCTAAAAACACACAATGATTTATGCTTGTAAGAGTAATATTAAATGTCAAGTCACACATGACTATATATTGAACACTACAATGTAAAATACTCAAAATGCTATAGCAAAAACAGTGTGAAAATGGTTAAAAGACAATCAATCAACTCACCAAAAGAATCAATACATGTATCAATAAGTTCATCTAGGCTGACTCCTTTGCTTAAGTGTCCCAAAGACATTGTTATGCAGAACTCAGTGGTTTCAGCCAGATCTGAATAGGAGCAGTAGAACAGCTCCAGTTCAGTAGCTGTCTTCGGATCAATGCTGCATTTTTGAAGCGTTCCTAAAAGAAAGAAAAGGGGGGGGACCCCAGTCACATGAGAGAATAACATTTCACAAAAGCCTCTGCAGCAGGTTGAAAAAGACAACAGTTGCCAGGATCACAGGAATTGGGTTATTGAAACAGTCCCCTCCCACTTAGAAAATGCATCAAACATTCCCCCTTCTGTGGAAGATATTTCCTTCCATAAATGTACTCATTAGTCCACCTTTTCTAAAGAGCCACATGTGGTTCTTATAGCATACAAAGCTCTCTGTTATTGTACAGCCCTCAGTAATCTTTATCCATTTCTTTAACTCTTTATGTATACACAGGAAACTATAAGGAAATGAAGAAGCAATGAGTAACCAAAAAACATAGCTTGCATATATTAGCATACATTGTGCTAAGTCACAGTTCCTTTAACTATGGACAATTAAGAAACCACAATTTGATGTATTTGGATAATATACTAAAGCATAAATTATCATAATGGCTGAGTTCACACAATATGACATGCCAAAACCAAACCAAACACATGGTTTAGCATGCCGTATGAACCAAGCTACAGTCTCAGAATCACAGAACTGGAGTGACTTCATCTAGTTCAATTTCTTGCCAATTAAGGAAGCCCACTACTATAGAATCCTTGAAAGGTAACCATCAATTTAGTGCTTAAAAACCTCCAGTAATGAAAAGTCCATCTCTATCTTCTTTTGAATAACTTGTACTACTAACTCCCCTCTTTTATCATCTGATCCTGTTGGTTCAGACCTTATGCTTCATATTAAAGATCCAGTTTATCTAAATAAACTAAGTGTGTAAGATAGGGTTGGGGTTGTGTAGTCTGAATGCTTTCCAACTGTGTAATCTTCTTAATATTTCTGAAGAACTACTGGTATAGGCTCCTCACAGGCAAAAATCTGTATAACTGACAAAAACTGAAATAGCTTTTGATAAGATATGATCCCACTGTGCCAGTATGGTGCAAAACAATCACAAATGATGAGAACATTTACTTATCCTTATTTCCAATAATCATAAAGAGATAGTAAGTGAAATGCATGTATAAGCAGGAAACTCAGGTGAGACTCAGCTATGCTGGCAAGATTCAGGGTATCAGAGATGGGATACTGTCCTTGATGGGGAAAAGGAACAGTCAATGTCATCCAAAAAGCCTAGTTTTCTTCACATTCTTTATTCTTACACAAGGCCCAGATGATCTCTTTATGCAACAAACTCTCAATGTACTGTATGCTGAAACCTAACAGCTTATTTAAACAGGTAATAAGTAACTAGTAATTTCCATATACGCAAGGCTCTATGGTTGCACAGCTACCCCAGGTATTTCAGGACTGACACAAGACTTATTCAATTCTGTACTTCTCAGCTTTCAGCAGAAAAATCCAAAGCATCTTCCTTTCTTACAAACTGAGCTGAAGGGAGAATATCTTGGTGAAAGGTAAAGAATCCCCAACCAGACATGTTGGTAAGACATCCTCAATTTGAGCTCAACTCCTGGTGACATCCATACAATTTTCTTGATGGTGTTACAGAAGTGTTTTGCTATTGCCTTCTTCCAGGCTGTTTATGTAATTTCCCAGTATAACCTACACCAATTAGTTCCCCATCTAACTAGTCCAAGGTTGACCCTGTTTAGCTTCTGAGATCAGCAAAAGTCAGCTAGGCCATCTTCTACTGGGAAATCTTTGAAAGAAAGGGTTTTCTAGCAAGATTTTAAATGTTTTTTTTTTCTAGTTTGTAGCACCAGAATTTGAGGAATGCTTATTTTAGTGAGTTCTTATCTGTGTTTCTACAAGGACTGTTATTACTGTAGTTCTTACTGCCTTTTGTAATGCTAGTTTATTGTTCATGCCATTTACTATATATTGTAATTTTAGTAACTTCATTCTATTGTATTTTCAGATCATTTATTCTAACATAAAGGACCATCACTTAGAAGGCTATTGTTGATCACTGGTTTTTAAAAAGTAATTAATAAATAGTTGATCAAGCCCCCAGGCACAGATAGATAATGCATTTTCATAGGAATTGCTTTTCATTTTATCCTCACAACAACCATAAGTTGATCTAAGAGAAGGTGATTAGCCCAGAGGCTCACAATGAGTTTCTATGAGTAAGGATGCACTGAGATCTGGATCCTCCCAACTCCAGTATTTGGCATACTGTAGTAGTTACACCAATTTGGCAACTACCATACCAAATATGTATACTGTTTAAAAAAAAAAAAAGTCAGAGTCAGTCAGCCATCAATTATTGAGGTAGCTGGGATATGGAGCACAGAGGAGAGGAGCTCACAAACTCTACAGTTATTTATTACACTATTCTTGGTGGGAGTCAAGTCAATGTTTATGTTAATGTGCCCTTCCAAGTAGAAAATTTGCACACAAAGAACAAGCAAATTTTCAGACACCTGCTTAGAAATTCTAGAAGGTTTTGCATGGTTAGTTATATTATAAGAGAGAGTGTGTACAAAAAACATCCAAGATAATACACATTAGCCTCTGTTCTAAAATGCTGAGAACTGAGCTTGGTGTATGTGCATTCACGTGTGTGTTCACAAACAGTAAATTTAGTAGCACCTCCTTCCCATATTTTGTAAGGATCAAATAAGTTTCTCCTAAAATCTGAGAACATTTCTAAAGCACCTTGAAAAGCTAGCTTCTCACAGGTAGCTCTGATGTGTCTATTAAAGAAAGCATGTTGAAAGATGAAAGTTGAAAGCTTTTTAAGCTGCTTCTTTCTCCCATTCCTTATCTTAAGCTCATATCAGGGAAAAAACTGAATGAACTGACTGATAAGTGCTGCCCAGGGATGTCTTCAGGGGATCTCAACAGTCCAAAATGGCAGGCACAACTAGGTTATCAAAGCCCCGCCCCTTTTTAACATGCACTGCACACATAAAAAGGGGTGGGGCTTTGATCACCCCAGCTGCTCCTGCTGCTTTGATATTGTGGATTCCCCCCTCCCATTACACCTCTGATGCTGCCTCAGTATTTCTGTTCTCACATGGAAACTGTGGATAAGTATATTATCCAGATCCCTTCCTCCTTTCCTTTTTCCAGGGAAATAAACATCTTAATTCCTTAAAAAAATTAAAAATTAGATAATATGCTGCTGGACATGAGCATCAACCTAGCAGACTCACCTGACAAAATATTCCATGGATCATTATAACAAAATAAAGAATGGGTAGAAGTAATGTCAGATTATGTTTGTCCATGTTTATTTTGTTACTTTTACCAACATTATTGGCCAGATAGACTGCAGGGACTGGCGGGCTGGAAAACAAAACAATCCCAGCTCAAAAATACTGTACATACTAAATTTTGTCTTCCACTCTACAGAATTTTTCATTAACCCCTCATTTCAAGCCAAAAGTGCTCCCTTTCAACCCAATCTCTATTTAGATTTATATGCACAGAGTGAAGGGTTCATTCCATAGGATACACTAGACCAGTGTTTCTCAACCCTAGCAATTTTAAGATGTGTGGACTTCAACTCCCAGAATTCCCCAGCCAGCACGTTTTAGTCCTTTCCCCCCCAGGACTAACTTCTCCTGCCTCGGTGCTCCTTCCTTCACAATTATGGCTCATTTGTCCCTTGTTTCACCTACCTGGTATCATAGCCAGTCAGTGGGATTTAGCTCCTTAACAAGCTTTTAGCAAGGCCTTAAACCCACCCTTTTTTTTTTTGAGTCATCTGCCCATTGTTTTCCATTCTCTGAATCTGTATGTACGAGTGCAATATATCACCTGCTGAAGGCTATCCTTACCACAATCGTTCCCATGAGAATTAACATTTGAACAAACCAAACAACGTAAGACAAGCACATTGTGGGAACTCAGCACAAGTGGTTTATGCAAACTTGGACAATGGGTTAACTGAGTAAACCATGATCAAATTAGTCATGGGTATTGCGTGAACTCAGCTATTGGGTCATAATTCCACTGGCATAGCCTCTCCCAGTATATAGTACTACTTATACAGTACAGTAGTATTTTTTCATTAAGTGTTGAGGGGTGCAGGCATTCTTCCTTAGATAGTAGCTCCCTAAATGATATTCAGAGCCACCAAACCTCTTTTAGAACAATGAATATAGAACTTATAGAACAGATATATTCCCCATTATTATTATTATTTAGCACAACAAAGCAGACCTCTTCCTTGGGTGCTTATCTTCCCAGATGAGTTCAGCAATAGCTATTATTGCTTCCTGTCCATATGGCCATACTAGCTGATGCAGTCCCTAGAATCAGAAAGCCCCCTTAAACAGATGTAATGGGACAGCTAACAGTATATGGTATTCTTCCTATTTCATTTTTTAAAATTACAGTACTAAAAATTCTACCACGTAGAGCACACCCAATACCACCCGTTCAAAAACACTGGGAACAGGGAAAAGCGAGGAGGATACGCTTATCTTTCCGTACTGCTGACGGCTCCTTTGCTCGCCGATCAGAGTTCCCATCAGCCGCCAAACTCCATCTGGTTGCGTAAAAGACGCCCATTCCCAAAACCATCACTGGACACAAGGTGGGAAGAACAGCGCTGACCAATGAAGGAAAGGGAACAACTGCCGAAATGACGGGAAGGGAGAGGGGAAACTTAAGGCAGACAGACTTACTGCCTCCGACTCCTGCTCTTTCGCCTCAGCCTTGCTGGGTCGGCTGTACAACCACGCAAAGCGCAGCTCGTCCGAAGCCCGGACGGACCTGCCGGCGCATTCCTGTCTCTCGTCGTCCGCACCGCTCGCGCCACCGCTGGGCAAGGAAAGCCGAGCTCGTAAGGCAGACGGCCGATGAGGGCGGAACCGACGAAAACTTCGCAGGCACGAGGAAGTAGCGGAGCGGTTCGAGCCCGGCGCGCGTCTCAGATTTTCCCCGTGCGCGCCGCTCTCCGAATGGCTCGAGGCGGAAGCGGCCAGCACGTGTCTCCGCAGCCTCGCTTTCTGGAGCGTCACCAGGTGCCTCTGCAAGGTAGGGGCGCCCGCGCTCGGCCATGAGAAAGAGCGGCGCTCTGCCCACCACCGGGGAGGCTGCATCGCAGGAGTTTCTGCCTGTCGACTCGTTCTTCCAGAGCCATTGTTAGGAGGTGGAAAATAGAAATGCTTGTGGGCATAATACTAATGTTGGCATGCCGGTTCTCCATGTTACACCCAGTACTCTACAACAAAAGCACTACCAAATAGTTGTGCAGTTCTTAAATGTCCGTTTATTGCGCATGTAATGTAATCCTTGAGGAGCCACAAGGCATCGGCCCAGCAACACGTTTTTCTAAGCTCCTGCCCTTTCAATTTCAGGTTACTTTATAATAGTATACTTTAGCGACTTTTGTTTCTTTTTAGCTAATTTTAGTTACAATAAGTATACTAGGTTACAGTAGACTTATTAGATTATTAGACTTTATTAGATCTTTTTAAATGTAATCATAACTTCGGGCAGATGAACATACAGGCAAAAGATTTTGAGTGGATTTGAACAACGTAGGAAAAACTTCATGGCATCGGTCCGGGATCCTTTTCTCCATCAAAGTCTGCTAAACAACCAAAGATAGAAGAACTTTTTACATGGAAAAAAATCTATAAGTAAAACAATTTTCCCTCCCGCCTTTAACAAATTTGCAGCCCTTGAATCACTTGAATGGAACTTCAAACAGAACTGAAAAAACAACAGCTGCTAAATCTTTCACTGTCTGTCAGGGAAGAGCTAAATGGGAATCTGGACTCTCTCCCCATCTCTCACTGTGTGTCTCCAGTACAACTTGCTAGTTCACCTGCTAACCTCAAAGGAAATAAAAATAAACTTAAAAATAAGATGCAAAATCAGAATACGGAGAGGCTCCTATGGGAAAATGCAGCAGAGTTTATGGCAAAGCGATGCCCTCTTACAGCACAAACTGTTATCTCATTATTTGAGCAGCTTTCAGCTATAAAATATGATCTGGAATTGCTGAAAAAAGACTTTGAGGCTTTTGTTTAAAAATAGGGAGCTGGACCTACCACTTCCAATAAGGCTTATGCAGAAGCTCTGGTTAAGCCACATACTTCTGATATGTGCTCTGAGAAAGAGCAAGTTGTTAAAGTAAAACTAACTGACAAAATTGCACAACAGTCAAATGACTTTATTAATAAATCCTTACTCTCTGACCAGGCAAAGAGTGGGCGCTTCATACATACTAAAGCCTCTGGATACTAAAGAAGCAATTCCCTGCAAGATAAATCGTTCGCTTCAGACACAACAAATTGCTCTCTGTATCTCCTTGAACAGTCTCAATATTGGATGTTGGGATTCTAGGAAAGCAAATGTAATTTCCCTAGGACAACTTCTTCACTGTCTACACAGACAGATTTATGTGCTGTTGAATGGCTTCCAGGTGCTCCAAACTGAAAACAGATTTTGTTGTCTTTTAATCAGCCTACTATCCCACTGATGCTATTCAAGATGAGCTTATACCTAGCATTTCAAATTTTTCCCACTAAAGTCTTTTGCAGAGTAAAAGTTAATTCCCTGTTTGGTTCTGTCTCACCTAGATTCCACATCCATTTCAAAACTTTACCAGATGCCACCAAGTTTCCTTGAAAAAGCAAGGCTGTGGGAGTTAGCCAGTCTCACTAAATGAAGATGCGTCAGATTCTGCTGAAGGTGGTCTTATCAGGGCCTTTGGTTTCCTGCCTAGGAATGAACAAAAAAATATAATACACAAGCTGGAAAATCTTAAGAAACCCTTACTGGTTACAATTGTTGTAGCCGAGCCACTTATTGACCTTTTGTCTCCAAACACTGACACTAATCGCCCTCCTTCAGTGGACAATGGAATGGTTGGAAATCACCCTCCAAATAATATTTGTTCCGGCCCTTATGGGGCAGTTGGGGAGCTTACTGCAGAGTGCCAGGCCATGCTAACTATTGAGGAGGAGATATTCTCTATATTAAGATCGCCTACAGGGTCCATATCTACAAATCATAAGGCAGGAGGAGGATCTCCTGCAGAATCACCCATGCAGGTCAGTTAAGTCCAGATGCCCTTGGTGATGAAGAAGAAAGCCGCACATCTACCCCTAAAAGCATTTCCGTATCATACCACAATATGACCCATGTGGAAACATACCAGCATGTTCCTCAAAGATTACAAATCATTCCCTCTTAGTAGATCCCATGCAGAATCATCATGATCCACTAACCCCACACCCAGGGACACCAAATGAAGCTGCCGCAACGCAAGTATCATTGGATGGAGCCAATTTTGTCACCAGAGAGTTGGATTCCCATGAGCAGCCACAGGATCTGCTTGAGGCAAGCCAGCCCTTGGCAGAGGTCCTGCTGCCTTCCTCTGGTTCACCATTCCAACACCACGATCTCACAACATTGGCTTACCAGAACCAGCTCATATGACTTCAGGATGCTCATGTAATCTCCCTATTAACTTGGAATATTGCAGGCTGGTCAGGACCATCAGAAGACCAACCTTTCCTTGAATACCTATCACAATTTAATATTCTTTTTTTACAGGAAACCTGGGCCACATCAGAGGTGGACTTAGTTACTGGGTCAATTCAATCTTGGCTACCCCAAGTAAGATAGGAGAGAGACCCAAGGGAGGATTGCAGCCCTAGTTTTACAACTGAAATATGTTCCTCTGCCTTCTTTAAGCCCATGGGTATCAGCCTCCCTGCTGTCCCTCAAACAAGTTGAAATCATATGCCTTAACTTCTACATCCCCCCTTCTAAAACACATGCCCAGACTAGCAGGACCTGGCAGCATATAAAAATTTTTATCCTCACTTACTTAGATACACACTCTGTAGCATCAGTAATAATTGGGGATTTAAATGCCAGGATGGAGCCAAATAATCACTCCCTATTCCATCAGTTCAAGACCTTTCATGAGGATGCACCAGAGGGACCCCTATACACTAGAAAATTTAAGGATCTAAAATCTAATTGGGCAGGATTATGTGTAGGCAGATAACCATACGTTTGGAACTGTGCCTACTCAGTGGCTCCCTAGATGGGGATCATCCAGCAGAACACTGGGGGGCAGGGAAAAGACCAGCAGTTGATTACTGGATCGCATTGTGTAATCACCTAAATGCCCTACAGTGGATGGATTCATAGATTCACAATCAGAAAGCAATCACCACCCCCGATACTAACTATGACACCCCTCTGGGAATCAGTAAGAACAGAAACAGCCTATACCCCAATGCTGGAAAATAACAACACAGAGGTACGAATTAGATGGAATGAAAGTAGTGCAAAAGCAATCGCTAAATGGCTGGCAGCCCCAGAAACCTTAGAAATTCATGCACACCTGCTAGACAACAAGTCTCAAAAATCATACTTGTATGATTTGTGTGATCTGTTAATTTTTAATCTGAAATCTGCTTCTGTCAAAGAAACAAAGCAACACTCCTGTAACTGGGGTGTAAATCATAAAAAATGGTTTGATCAGGATTCTGCACAGCTGAAAAGGCCACATCATACAGCATATAGAAAGTAAACATTTTCCTTCTGACGACCAACTACTTTCTGTATGGAATTTAAAGGCTCAGTACAAGGCCCTCCTAAAGGAGAAAAAAAAAAAAAAGACTGGCCACAAAGGAGTTCTGGCAGAAACTAATTCAATCAGTCAGGAAGAGGGACTCTTCCCTCTTCTGGCAAACTATCGGAGGACTAAGAAAACCGCTAGCCCCCCCCCCTCCCCCATCAAGTACCTATATAAGCCTGGGAGGAGTATTCTGGTACTCCACCATCTAGCACAAAAATACACTCATAAAAAGAAATCCTCTCTGTGGGTTTTCTAGATTTTTAAACATGCCTTTGACTCAGTTTCCAGGAATGTCCTTTGGGAAAAATTAAAAACACAACTTTTGACAGACACCTCCTCTTTCTGATACAGAAATTATACTCTAACACCACCTTATGAGTGAGGTGCAATACCCAAGGGTCCCTTTCTGACACCGTAAGTGTTCAGAAAGGAGTGAGACAGGGATGTATTCTTGCCCCCTCTCTTTTCAACTTGTATGTCAATTCAGTGGTGGACCTTCTTCATAATCCAGATTTCCTTTGCACCTAAACTAGCAGGGCGCAAAATCTTTATGCTCCTCTACGCTGACAATGCCGCCATAATTTCACAAACCCCTATAGGGTTGAAAAGAACGATAGCAATAGTTTGGTGCTGTAGAAAAAAATCACCTGGTTCTTAATTTTGAAAAATCTAAAATTCTGGTCTTTGCTAAGAAAACCACCCAACAATCCTGGAGAGTAGAAGAGCACAAATTAGAGCAGATTACTGCATTTAAATACCTTGGGGTGGTTTCCCACTCTAAAGGTACCTGGAACGCGCACCAGAATCACATAGTGCAGCTAGCTCTTAGGTCTACAAGTGAGATTAAGTGCTTCTTTTATGCACGCGGAGGACAGTTAATCCCTGCAGCATTAAAGCTTTTTCAGGCCAAACCAATGGCTCAAATCCTTTATGGTGCACAAGTAGGAATTTATGTGAAGAAAGATGCACTGGAAACAGTACAAACAAAATTTTTGAGATCAGTCCTTGCTGCACCCAGTGCAACAGCAAATGCCCGGTTAAGGCTTAAGACAGGAATGCCTACAATCCAGGTAAGGGGCCTGGAGGATGATGATAAACTACTGGCTGAAAATCCAATTCTTCCTAGTCAGACTGGCTCTTTGGTTTTAATAGACAATTTTCCTTTTCCCTGGAATCAGGCTGTAGAGCAGAAGTTGGCCTTATATGGGCTTTCTGTACCATTCCTAATTTAGGATATGACCAAGCCCAACAACTGCTCACCCAAAGAATAAGGTATATGGAGTTTCAGACCAAAATTAATAGGCTGCCCCAACATGGCAGATTTTGGAT